AGCATGGGCTCCCTGTGGGTTTTTCCTAAGTTAAGCCTGAGGGGTTTTGCAATGTTATTAATTTTTTCCCCTCATTTAAAGGCTGTATGAGTACATAATTTCTGAACTGTCACAGACAAAAAGGGTCACAGAAAGCAATCCGTGTCACCACTTGTAGGCAAAAACAGCTCCATTTTATAATAGTAACAACAACAAAAAATACCAGAGGACTAACTCAAAGTAGAAGAAGGCAAAAACTACATGTATAGATAAACTACTGAAGGACCCCAAAGAAGAGCTCAAAAACCAACCAACCCACCAGAGAAACACACAAATGTACACACATGTAAAGACACAGTATCATACAGAGGTCAAGTTCCTACAGACTAGCTTATAAAACTAGTAACATGCCAGTCAGAATCTCAGTAGGGTCTCAGAATACAACTTATTTTGAAATAATTTTAAATTGTACAGAAAAGTTCAAGAATAGTACAGGGCTTACATAGTCCCTTCAACAAGATTCCCCAACTGATAATATCACTTCACTTTTAATTTAATGATATTTTATATCTTTTACTGCATTACCTATACATACTCATAACCTATACAGTCAGCCCTCTATTATCTATGGGGTCTGCATCTGTGGATTCAACCAACTGCAGATCAAATGTATTAGGGGAGAAATTACAGAAAGGTATACAAAGCACAACTTGGATCTGCCACATGGCTAGCAATTATTTATACAGTACTCACACTGAGTTTATAACTATTTACGTAGCATTTACATTGTGTTAGATATTGTAAGTAATCTAGAGATGATGTGTGGAAAGATTTATATGCAACTACTATGCCATTTTATATAAGGAATCCAAGTACCCACAGAGTTTGGTGTCTGAGGGGGCCTTGGAACCATTCCCCTACAGATACTGAGGAAGATTATATATACCCTGTATGATACTCATTAGCTTCTTCCTGACCTCTCTGAGAGTAGGCTGAAGATTGAAGCCCAATCACCCCCAACCAGTCCAGTGAACATTTCCAAAAACAGGAACATTCATCTACATAACCGGCATAAAACCCTCCACACCAGGAAATTAACATTCCTTACCACTGAGCCACCTGAGAAGGTCCCCTGGAGAAGGAAACAGCAACCCACTCCAGTATTCTTGCCTGGAAAATCCCATGGACAGAGGAACCTGGTGGGCTACAGTCCATGGAGTCACAAAAGAATCAGACATGCCTTAGCGACTAAACCGCACCATCAGCTATAGCACCAATCCAGTGCACAGTTCATTCCAATTTTGTGAACTGTCCCAGCGTGTTTCCTTTTCCTTTCTGGTCCAGGATCCCATCCAGGACAACAAGCTGTCACACCTCACCAGTGTCTCGCCAGTGTGCAATGGGCCCCCAGTACTCTCCTGACTCACATGCCCGTGACAGAGCACGGCCCTCTCATTCTGCAGGATCCGCGTCTAGCCTCGGGCCCCACTTTCTTGGCGATGACACCAGAGGCATGACGCTGAGCTCTGCTCAGGGCACCACGCCAGGGAGGCACGGCAAGTGTACCCTACACTGGTGATGCCAATCACATTCATCCGGTCAAGCCCATCCCTGCCAGGTTTCCCCACCACAAACTTACCACTTTACCTTGGTGATCAATCATGTATCTTGTGCCAATGGCTTGTTCTTTGTCAAACATCCAGTTATTGATGACTCCCGTGTCAACCAAGCACCACTATGATGATTCGTTGTTATTGTTCAGTTGCTCAAATGTGTTTGACTCTGAGACCCCCTGAAATGTAACCTGGCCAGGCTCCTCTGACCATGGAATTCCTTAGGAAAGAATACTGGAGTGGGTTGCCATTTCCTCTGCCAGGGGATCTTCCCAACCCAGAGATCGAACCTGCATCTTCTGGACTGACAGGTGGATTCTTTACCGCTGAGCCATCTATGATGGATGCCAAATGGTGACTCTCTGTCCATCATTAGCTGGCAGAACTTCCCCTCCTAACCCATGTGTCCACTCATCTATTTGATTCTCAAACTATCCAGCTCTGGCCAGTGGAGACCTCTTCAAAGCGGCCCCTATACCCTTTGGACACACTCCCTCCCTTGAGCATGACTTTGCGTCCTGGCACAAGGTGTTTCAGGATCATATACCCCTTTCCACGCCGCCCCCAGGAACAAGCCGCATCTCCAAGGATACGATTCATTTTAGAGAAGGATAATATACAGAAACAAAGATCTGGATGCTAGGATTGTTCACTGCTGCTGGGATGTCACTGCCTCTAGCTAGAAAAAACTATGTACAAACACCCACACCTGTAACTATTTCCATACCCACAGTAGTATATGCATCTATGAGCCATGGGTTCATCCTGAGACCTCCAATTCCAACCCAACACCCTCCAGGGTCTTTGCAACCTTTCACCTTGCCATGTTGCAACTTCCTCCTCAAACAGTTCAGGCACCTGGCCCCCATTGGCCTCAATATATACTTAGATACTTGTTTATTCAATGTACTTATTTTTGCTCATTTGCTCAGTAAAAGTGATCTCCCAAGCTCTGCAGTCTCATCCTTCACATCTCCTCACCATCAACCCCTCAACCAGAAGACTCTCCACTGCCTCTGTGAGGCTCTGATAAATACATTATAAAAGTTCGATTAAAGGAAATATATGAAGCTAGTCAAGAAAATTTGGGAAACTATGGAAAGTCAGAAGATACTTGCTCTATCATGGATTGTACTTTTTTCTAAATTATAATTAAAATAAACTAAAGGGATAACATGCTACCTTTCTGGTGTTTTTCAGGGAGAAAAATAATTGTGTTAGACCCATCTCATGATATCCATAAACTCCAGGTGAATTAAAAAGCTAAACACACACACACACACACACACACACACACACACAGGCAGGGCAGTTTAAAAGAAAACGTTAATAATTCAAGGGAAACAAGCTGACATTCAGTTTTGAGTTTATAAATGCCATTCCTCACTAAATGGAACCCAGGCTAGAAAAATGTCTGATTCTCCAAGGGGCAGACAAGCCCAGGGCATAAATCTATAATACTTGAACCATGCCAGAAAGCCAGGATACACTTTCAGCTGAATGCAGATATGTCAAACCAGACTGAGGGGGTTCTCCTCATTTGGTGGGATCAAGTTTTATTCCTTTTACTGGATTAGATGAATTAGCAATGGAAAACTTCCAAACTAGTTCTGTAGCTCTGTATGTATGGACATGGATAAATTTTAGAAACAATATACACAAAAAGAGTGACAAAGAATAAGACACGACTTGGCGACTGGACAACAACAAATACACGGAAAAGGCCTGGTGTTTGGGAATACGGGTCTGAGTGGAAGGAGGGAGACACTCAGAAGGATGCAGTGTGACACTGTCAAGTCTGGGTAATGGGTATACAGGTGTCATCAGTCTTTGTACTTTTCTGTGTGTTTGACGTATTTTGCAAATAAACAGAATTCTGGTTTCCCACTTAACCAGTCTGAGGAAACATCACCGGTTCATGGCATGGAATTTAAGATCCTTCAGCTTCTGACGTGAACAGAATTTCTAGCTCCACATCTCATGACCTCATTTCGTACCTCCTACTCCAGTGGGCTTCCTTGGTGGTTCAGCTGGTAAAGAATCCACCGCAATGCGGGAGACCTGGGTTCGATCCCTGGGTTGGGAAGATACTCTGGAGAAGGGAAAGGCTACCCACTCCAGTATTCTGGCCTGGAGAATCCCATGGATGAGTCCATGGGGTCGCAAAGAGTTGGGCACGACCGAGCGGCTTTCACCTTCATTCCAGTGGACAGTAAACTTCTCTCCATTCCCCAAAGGTGAGTCAGACCTCCAGGTCTTGTCCAAGCTGTTACCTGTCGGAATGCTAGTTCCCTGCCCACTTTCACCATCCAATTAATTCAGATGCTTCTGTGACGACCTGCTCAAACATCCCTTCTTCGGAGCCTCCATCCAGTGAGTCAAGCACCCCAGTCTCTCTCCCCACAGCTCCTGGGAGCATGAAGCGGCGGAAAGGGCATGCCTGGACCTTGAACTCAGACACCGTCAGATTCTGAACTGGGTTTTGCAGCTTAATGCTAGTGAGCTCTTGAGCAAAACTGCTCACTTCTTAAGCACTAGTTTCCTCAATGGTAGAACAGAAATGCCCCTGGAGTTTGCCTGTGGTGAGGTGAAACATAGAGTGCACTATTCCACTAAGAACACTTCTCCTGATACCAGAAGTGAAGCAAGTCCCTCCCCTCTTCTCTTTTATTACTGATACATTTCAAAATAGTAAGTCGGGAAAATGGCTGGAAAGGATACATGGCAACATTAACTAGGGGAGGAATGACTTTTTAATTGTTTTTTATTTTTAGTAAGACTACAGTCATATGTTATGTGGAGAAGGAAATGGCAACCCACTCCAGTATTCTTGTCTGGAGAACCCCATGGACAGAGGAGTCTGGTGGGCTATGGTCCACAGGGTTGCAAAGAGTCGGACACGACTGAAGCGACTTAGCACGCACGCATGTGTTCCTTACATGAAAGTATGGTTTGTAAAACACATAAGGTTATCGAAAGCCCCTAGCAGAACAGCCTAGCAAACACCAGCTAACACTCACTGAGGACTGCTGCTCTGAGGACGAGGCAGGCTGAGAGAGGCCTGGGGTGAGGATGCAGGTTAACCACCTGAAAAGCAGGGAGGAGTAAGGAAGGCCCCCTCCCTCCAGGGGCCCGTGTCCAACACGGGGAACATTACACACATGCATAGCCATCCTTCAATACACATTCTGAGCAAATATCACATTCCAGGCACTGATTCTAGGTTCTGGGGATACAGCTACAACAGACAAGTCTCAAAAGTCCTGAGCTACCACGAAAACAGCAAATAAAGAATGAACGATTACAAACAGACATCGGGTTGGCCAGGAGCTAAGAAATGCTGAGGGAAAACTAAGGGAGGCTAAGGGGACAGAGAAGGGAAGAGGGAAAGGGTGGGACTTGAACAGGATGGTTTACACAGGACGCCACCCCCCCCCCCCAGGAGGTGACAAGCAACTGGAAGGAGGGGCGGGGACGGGCCATGCGGAGACCTGTGGAGAGGAGGTAACAGAGGCAAGACGGGAATGGGCTTGCTGAGAGGGTCCGCAAAGTGGCTGACGCGGCAGAGGCCAAGCGCAGGGAGAAGAGAGAGAGGTGCAGCCAGAGAAAGGGGCCCTGAGCACACAGGCCCTGCTCTCGAGGGGCCCACAGACCTGTAGCACCGCCGTCTGGGTTCTGTTGGAGCTGCAGAGTCTCGGGCCTTGGGGACCTACTGAACCAGAGTCCGCGTGTTAACACGCTCACCAGTCAGTCACATATGCGTGACAGTTTGAGTACAGATGAAGGGCCTTTTAAGCCACGTAGGAACGTCGGATTTTATAAGAAGACTTTGGAGGGTTTGAGCTAGAGAGCAACACCCTCTGGTTTCAATTCTCAAATGGCCAACTCTGCTCTGGTTGTTTTGCGGAAAACAGACTTTGGGAGGGGCGAGGGCAGAAGCAGGGAATCAGTGAAGAGGCTATTTTGGTCGCCTGGGTAAGGGGTGTTGGCTGCAGAGATGAATGTGGTGTTGATGGAGGTGGTGATATGTGGTCAAAGAAAGGACGTATTTTGAAGTCAGAGCCAATGGGAATTGCTAATGGATCAGAGGTGGATGTGAGGGACTTGACATCGATGACAAACCACGGCAGCCACGTGACAGGCACTGCTCCGGGTCCTCTACAGGTAGAAATCTGTTCAGGTCCCACGGCAGTCCCAGGAAAAGGTACGGCTGAAAGCCCGGCTCTATTAAAATGAAGACAGCCAGGCAGAAGGAGGTTCAGTAACTGCCCAAGGCCCCAGAGCCCGTCAGGTGGTGGCACCAGGAGGCCCAGGGAGCTTGCACTCGGGCACCATCTGTGGAGAGGGACAAGGCAGGGAGGGGAGGGGCTGAAGGAACCACGGGTGCTTTTCTGGACACGTTAACTCTGAGATTCCTGGTGACGCCCACGTGCAGAGGTCAGGTAGACAGCTGGCGTGTCTGGGCCTCAGAGGAAGGTGGGGATGGAGATACATATGGGAAAGTCATCAGCACAGAGATAGGACTTGAAGCCAGAAGAGTGGATGAGATCACCCAGAGCAGTTTTTCAAACTGGAGGTTGTGAAATCAATTTAGTGGGTCATGAACAGCATTAAAAAAACAAAATGAAATAGAACAGAATGGAAAATAACAGAGACGATGGCTCAGAGTAAGATGAAGCATGAGAACTTTATTGTGAAACTTTTGTTTCAGGCTTGAGTTTAGGTGCATAAGTGAACGCAGTGGGCATATACCAGGTTGGCGTGTAGTTTGGTCAAACAACGGTGCAAAGCCTCTGGTCTAGGGACCAAGAGCAGGACTGATCCCTGAATCCCACCAACATTTGGAGGCTGGGAAAGAGGGAAGGGAGTCAGCAAGAGAGAGTGAAGGGAAGAAACAGCTGGTGAGGAAGAAAGGCCACGGGGGTCCCCGGAGCTGTGGGAGGGGGGCGTGCTCACGAGTGCACACGGTGTACACAGATTGTGGGACGGAGAGGTACGTGGGCGCTCAGGGGAGGGTGGCCTGTTGGAGGCCTCGCAGCTGAGGGCAGAATGAAAGGGGGAGAGAGATGAGAGTAGGGTTTTTAGACCTTGATTTGTGGGGACAACAGGGTATCCAGTCATAATTTCCGTAAGTAGCAAATACTAGGCTGTTCAGCTGTTTTTTTTTTTTTAAAAGCAACTACTACATACTGGGCCCTTTACCAGGCCGGGGAGCACAGGGATGACTAAAACTCTGATGTCTTTTTAAAGAAGCTTCCACTCTGGAAAAGGAGAAAACTGCAGTACAGTGAGAGTGAGGTCAGGCCCACGGGGCAGAGCGTGAATAGGTCTGACGAAGGCACCAGTCACCCTGCTGGCCAGCTTATGTCCACCACGCCACCCAGACCGACTGTTGCCCCCTGCTCTCCTGACTCTTGACTCGCGCTCTCCCCCTCCCAAACACTTCCCAAACCGGAGTCACTCTTCAAGGCCTGGCTCACACCAGCACTTCTTGTCTACAAGCCACATCAGTGCCTGGTCCCTGCATGGTCCACACTTCCCTGCCTCAGGGAGCACCTCATTTCCCCAGTGAGGGTCACATGACAGTTGGAAGCAGGTAACAAATTTTTTCAACATTTGCCTGGCACTTCAACAGCCAAGTAAAGGCTTGCTTCCCCACTACAAGTTGACTTATGTTATCATTCAGCATTATTACTGAAACAGAGCTGAACTGACTCGTTGGAAAAGACCTTGATGCTGGGAAAGACTGAAGGCGGGAGGAGAAGGGGATGACAGAGGATGAGATGGCTGGATGGGCGACTCGTAGGACATAAGTTTGGGTAAGCTCTGGGAGTTGGTGATGGACAGGGAAGCCTGGCATGCTGCAGTCCACGGGGTCACAAAGAGTCAGACATGACTGAGTGACTGAACTGAACTGAGAGCTGATCACGTCACCCCTGACTCTAAAACCTTCTCTGGCTCCTAATTATTAGCACAACACATAGTCAGCTCAGCCCTGTCTTCTAGAAATGCCACACAGCCTTGCCCTTCCCTGCCTCCGAAACTCCCTAATGCTTGAACAGACACAATCAAAACAAATATGAAAAAGATGTAGAGTTGAAATGAGAAAGACAACATTCCTCAAACTGTTGACAACAGCTGTCTTTGGAGTGAGGCTGCAAGGAACCTTCTAGGAACTGATTTAATGAACATGTTAACTTTAAAACAAAAGTTAAAAAGAAACGAAATTTAATGACTGCAGCTGTTAATTTATTGAGTGTTTACCCTATGTACTAGACAACATATTACAGTCTCATTTAATTTTAACAAGTCTGTGATGTAGGTATTAGCCTTTCTGCAGAGGGAGAGACTGAGGCGCAGAAAGTTGAAGAAACTCTCACAAGGTTACACAGCTCGTCTGTAAAGAGGAAAATGCTGGATTTGAACCCAGGTCTAATTAAGAATGTGCCTTAACCTCTCCTGTCCTCAGTCCTGTCTGTGCATCCCCCAGCAGCCCTGCGTGCATCGTGCAGTCCTTCCTTCATTCCAGCTGGCTCTTCTGCCTGAATAACTGAGCTATGCTGACACGCCACTGGCCTATGAGGTCCAGGGCAAATCCTGCCTTTCCCCTGACTCCTCCCCTCCCTAGAGGTGTTTACCAACACTGCTCAGTGATGTCCGCCTCTTTGTGACCGAATGGACTGTAGCCCACCAGGCTCCATGGGATTTCCCAGGCAAGGATAGTGGAGCAGGTTGTCACTTCCTCCTCCAGGGGATCTTGCCAACCCAGGGATTGAACCTGCACCTCTTGTGCCTCCCGCACTGGCAGGTGAATTCTTTACCACTGAGCCAGCCACCTGGGAAGCCCCCACCCACATTACCTGAGAGTAATTAAACCCTCTACTTCCCAATAGAGGAAACTTGCGAGCATTCAAATCCCGGGTGAATTAAGTTGACAATGTAATCTCTTTCTGACAAAAGCAAAGAACACAGAGACCAAAAGTTCTCATCTGTGAGGGAAGTTAATCTTAAGAAGGGAGTTTCTGTGAGCCCTCCCTCACCCCTTCCCCCACTTTCAGCCTCAGCTTCCTGCACTTATTAAAGGAGCTGAGCATTTTAGATCACCACTTCTGATGAATAAAAACCACTTACTATTTAAAAATGTAAACAGTGTAAATCAAAAGGTTTTCTTTTTAAACATCTCTTTAAAATTGGTTACCTTTTCCCAAAGGCTCTGACCTTTGAAAGAAAGTACTTTTTAAGTTCAGCACAAAGAAGTGTAAAAACATTAAGATACTTTACATACACATAAATGTGGAGAGATGTGACCCCGTGAATCAGACATGCCTAAAAATGCAGAAAGCTCTTTTAACACCATCTGACCACATCTGAATTTATGAGCAGAAGTAAGGCCAAACAAACAACACACAGTAAAACAAAAGCACTGCCCCAGCAATCTCAGAAAGGAAATACAAGATGGAATGAACAGATTCTAACGTGTCCTTGGCCTTCCTGGGCAAAGCTATGAGAAAGGCAGTCAACCAAGCATTAAGACTTGATTTTACTGGAGGTGCCAAGACCACAGGTCAGCCTGTCAAACGAAGCAGAGGCAGAGCTGAGCTCTAAGGGTGCAGTTCACTCCTGATAAAAGCCAATGGGCCTTTTTACAGTTTATGGGATCCTCTGCATGTGGCTGGAGAAGCAGGCATGGGAGGAATACTGTCTGGATGACCGATTCCTGTGAAAGATGAGTGCACAGGTGTCAGGTGAAGCTGAGGTGAGCCGAGTGTCAACAACTTGGACCACTGCCTCAAACCCACAGCTTGAAAATACTGAGGAACAATGTGTTAGTTCTTGTTAAATGCATCTATAAGCTAAGTGTCCTCAAGGTTACTGAGTTTTCCACTTAAAAACAGAGAAACGAAAAACAAAACAAAAAACCCCACAAAAATCCCACACCTATAAATAGCTAAAAGATTGTTCTAAACATGCTAGCAAACTTCTAAATTCCCAACTTCAAACTAAAGAGAGTCACCTCTAAGCCTCCAAGAAGAGCCTCAAGAGTCAGCAAGCTAATTTGGAGCTGGAGAACTTCACAGAAATAGAAAGCAGACCATTTCAGGTGTAAGGTGTCTCAGTGAACGGCTTTAGCTCTGCACTGTATTTTACGTTCTCATTCTATTTGAAAAAGGAAAGGGGGGAGGGTGCCAAGTGCACAAGTAACAGTCACTGAGAGACAAAAGCCGCCACTCCTGACAGCTGCTCGCCCCTCCACGATATTCGCAAAGCAATACCATAAAAGCCCTCCTTGACTCCCCCCCAGCCCCACCAGGGACACAGAGTCCTCTCCTCCCTACGGGACAGCGCAGCACCAAGCAAGCCAAATGTCTTGAAGAAACCAAGAAAAACATGTTTAAAAACCTTCTGGAAATAGAATTTTATTTTAGCAAGCAAGATGAGCAAAAATACAGCTTTATTTTTGCAAGGTACAATTGCTTTCCCTATTAAACCTGTTTTCAATGGAT